AGAGTTGGAAACGGTTCTGATCCAGACAGTATTCTGTTTCCTATGTCTTCTACTTGGTACTGAGATGTAAAGCAGCCGTCAGTGAACCAACCCAATGTTCAGACCTCCAGACACCAAACAGTCCAACTATCTCAGCTTACAGCAGAGACTCAGTCCGAACCAACGTTCAGGAGACCCTGGCTAATGTCAGCAGCGCACTGTTAAAAAAACCTGTAACCTTCCTCTTACGCTCCACCACTAAACCTCAACAGGTTCCAGCTGTTACTCCTCAAGGCAGCAACTAGGATAGTTTGAGGAGCTGAACGCTGCAGAGAAAACACACACATCCTGTTAATCTGACAGATTTCCCATCATGGAAACACTCAGGCCTCACCTGGTTCAGAAAGGCTCCTCAGGTTCTGCTGCTTCTGTCTGGAGGCCAAGAACCAGAGGAGGTGATGGAAATGGAGAGAGGACAGCATTCAGGCCCTGATGAGGGCGTGTCTCTGGTCTCTATCAGAGCTTTGGGATCAGATGATTTCATCCAGATGAATCATTTCTCCTTGTTCTCCAGACTTTTCATCAGTTCAGGAACAGAACCGACAGGAAATGGGAGCTCTGCTGTGGAGAGCTAACTAGCATAACTAAACCAACACTAGCTAAATTAGCTAGTAGATCTGATCAATATAGCCCCTCTTGATGAAAGCAGGTCGCTGAGGGAAACTTTTTATAAATTTCGCCTCACTCATTGTTCTACTGCCAAGTTCTCACTCCAGAAAAATCCAGAGGAAATCTAAAGCAGTGTTCAGTTTCCACCTGCCTCAGGTGGAACTCTTTCCTATGACCAAGTTTCTGTCAGCAGCCTTTATGCGGCCTCTGAGATCCCTTATTTTGTGGCCAGTCAGCTTGCCATAAATCCCTCTCCTGTTAGCTGCTAATAAGCTTGGCTCCTGCTTCGTTCTTCCTCTGCATCATTGATGTGGCCTCTACAGTTTGTTCTGCACAAAGTGCTGCAGACCTTTAATGATGGCTCACCTTGCTGCTGGGGATTCATGGACCCAAGTGGAAAGTTGAGACAGTTTTCAGTGAATGAGCTCATTTCCAGTCTGTAGCTGTTGGGTACCAGGCAGACCACTCGCCTCCCAGATTTGACTCACCCTATGATATTCATCTCTGGAAACTCTGGAAGCCAAACACAGCCAGACTGTTTTCCCATTATGAACTTAATAAACGATTTGACCCTGTTTTCTGCTGTCATGTAGAATCACAGAACAATGAAGAAAATGTATTTTGATTTTGCTGAAACCCTCTAAGTTTTTAACGTGTACAAGCAGGAACCTGCATACAGCCTATTTTCCACCTAAAACACCTGCAAAGTGCATATCCTGCTTTGGTCACAGGAGAGTCCATAGGTAGTTTAAAAATCCTCTGAGGTGTTTGACCTTTGACCTGAAGCAGCCCTCAGCAACGCTCTGAGGTATTTTGACAAAATAAAGATGGATGTTCAGCTTCTGTTCCTTGTTGTAACATCGTCTAATCCATCCTTCCCCGGTGTTCCAGGGTTTTTTTTGTGGTTTTTTTTCAGACCACAGGTCGTTTTTGGAACTATTCTGTTTGTTTAGTTTTTATTCCACAGAACAGATTTTTAATCAGCAGCAGCACTGCCTCACTGTGTGGACAGAAAGTGTTCTGCTCAAAGTTTAAAAGCCATGAATGCGTCATGGACAGAAGCTTGGAAAGCCTCCTGAACAGTAAATAAAGTGTTTGCTCACAGAGGAGAAATTCCTCAGTAAGTGGAGGTGGAGGAGCAGCAAGTAGCTCAACAGATGTTCCTGGGACTGTGGTATGTTGGAGCGATGAACACACTGGCAGCCTCACTCACTCCTTTCACCATGTTTCCTCCAGAGACAGTGATGAGGACTGATGAAGGAAGTGGAACTGCTCCTGCAGTAGCAGAAGAGATAGAAGAGTCTTAGCGCAGGGTGGAGAACTAGAGGGTTAATCAGCAGCTACAGAGGAGCTCTGCAAATCTGACTAGCTCAGTGAAATGAAAACTGCAGTAGTCGCCCTTCAGCAGCAGCATTTAATAGAACCTCTTCCTGCCCTCATCTCTGCTTTACTGTAAATTCTTCACTTCACAGCAGCATCACAGGTCCACCTCTGTCTGCTGCAAAACAATAGAAATATAGCAGTGCATTCACACCAGCCCTGTTTAGTCTGCTTTAATCAAACCCTTGTCCGTTTGTTTAGAACGTCCAGTTTGTTTGGGGAAATGTGAATGCTCAATCAAACTTTGATGTGGATCAAAAAGTGAACTCTGGTCCACCTAAAAACCTCAGCCTCAGTTCAGTTGAAGTGAACTCTACTCTGCTCCAAAAGCAGGAAGCAGACTACAGCACAGAGCATTCTGGGTAAATACAACCAAAACAAGCAGGAGAGTCTAGAGCTAGCTAGAAATGTCTCGTGGAAATCCTACAACTGCTAAAATCTGATGCCACTCCATTTGTGTTTCTATTTTGTGAAGACAGGAACTACGGTTTATTTGTTGACACGGTTTTTGTGTCGTTTCCTTCAGTGGTTCTTGGTGCAGCGCCACCACAGGCGAGTAGGTGAACAGGCTTTACCACAGCAGCTGAAAATGGAATAAATGTTGCAATTTTGGTACTCAATTATAAAGAGTCGGGTTTGAAAACACTCTAAGTTTTACTGTGTAAATAAGTGACAGTAAATCTTGCACTTTTATCATATTTTTTAGAGATTCATCTGCATGTGTGTGTTTTGTGAATCTGCTGCTGCAGACATGGAGCTCGGAGGCCCTTCTATGTCACCATGGAGCTTCCAGTATTTTCAGCTGGATGCTCCATGTCTGAAACCAGACCTACTCTGTCCACATTCTGGGCAGAGTGGGGATTTGGGGAGTTGCTGCTGGGGGTGGAAACTGGTCCCAGTCTGTTCTGTAATGAGGGCCCCCATCGACCTGCAGGCTGTCATTATAATGACTTCAGTGCTGCTTCTAAATCAGAATCCCAGAGCCATACAGCTCAGAACCACTCTGTATGGAGGATGATGTGTGATGTGCTGCTCCAGAATTCAACTTTGGACTGATAAGTGTTTCTGTGAGGACTATAATCAATGTTTGCACACAGTTGCATGTGTTCGCCTCCAACTTTCCATTTCAGTAACTCTTCAGAGAAACAGCTTTGTCTCTCAACATTAAACAGCTGCAGTCCTGAAGGTGATATGGAAAAAATGAGCCTGTTTACTGTGGAAATGATTAGAATGCCTCTGTGGCCTATGAGTTTATAATGTGCTGCTGGAAAACTGGTTGATTTGTAAAGTGGATGCACGGTTTGTAAAAATCCACTATTGGAAAAGTATTTTGTTTGTCTAGACTTTTAAAAACACCAGGAGTTTAATTTAATTCCTTATGCTCAAATGAGAAAGTGAGAAAATCACAACAAGCTACTAAAATAAAGCGTAGCTCAATTAATATAAGGAAAAAACTGCAAGGACAAATAATTGACAACCTATTTCTAATTATATGAAAACATTTTCACTTAATCTGTCTTGTAATTGATTTAAGGACAAAGTGGGAGGAAAGAGTTTGAAATTCTTTCTTCCACATTGGTTCCAGATGGAAGACAGAATTTTTCCACCTCACGTCAGATTAGTAACATCACGTAGTCTGCGGATTTCTGCATAAATTTGCTCAAAAATCAGTTTTAAAACTTAAAAATTTCATTTTTGTTGCTCCTGTTTGCAAGTTCACTGCAGATCCAACCACTTGGTCGTCTCACCCACTGTATATATTTTTGAATAAATATATACTTTATATATATATAATTTAAGAAAATGTCAGGCAGATAAGCTAACCTAACATTGATAATTTAAGTTACAGAATTGTATGAACAAACCCTATTTTTACTTAAATATAAACTGGTGGAATCTGATGCAGCGTTGAACCTTTTAAACAAATGTTCTATTTATTTACATGTTTTTTTTTTCTCTTGTCAGTCACATCATTTAAACTAAATCTCTAGACCGTTTAAATAGGAAAAAATGGCTTTCTGAATGGAAAATTGTGATCCTAAAAATCATAATTAAGTGGAATTGCTCGAAACTGAAAGATTTGCAGCTCCAATCAGGTCTCAGCTTAAAGTTCATGTTTGGGAGATTTGACTGTTGGCTAAAATGAAGCAGGTGGAAGACATGTCTACACAAGACCCCCAAAAACTGTAACATAGTCATAATTAATAATCAAAGCGTCAAAACAAGTCAGAGCTTTATCAGTCAGGAATAAAAAATGCAAATTCTAGCTACATTGGCATCAGACCTCAAGGTGTGAAATAACTATGAACAGGTATTTTCAGTCTATTAGAGATGATCGTGTTTCTGAATTGAGGAAAAAATGTTTGAAGAATCTCCGCTCTCAGGCGTTCCTTCCCAAAGTTTGACATAAGTGTTTTGTTTTTGTAGATCCATGAACGGCTGCAGCATTATGAAGAGAGCAAGCCGGCTCCAGTCATGGACAGCGCCGCGGTCCTGGCCCAAGACGTAAGCTTCTTCAGCTCCTCTTCGCACCCGTTTCACATGGTGATGGCTGCTGGATGGAAGGAAACACAAATGTACAATGGTTCTGTAACAATGTTTGTTGGCCTGTGATCAACTTTTAGAAAAGTTATTTGGTTTCCATGCCTAAGCCAGAAAACCAAAATTTTTAAAAGGAAAAATAAAAAAAACCTCAGTGTGAATCATAAGCCCCATTTTCTCTTTTGCCAAGTCTCCCTCCTTCCCAATTACATTTTTTTTTTCAGTTGAACTACAGATGGTTTCCTTTGTGCTTCCTTGTAAATGCCCTGCAAAGCTTCTCTCTGGGATTACTGGATATCAGGCTGGAGCCCAGAGAGTATCTCTGAGCCCGCCACAGACCCTAGTCTCCTGTCGGCTCAAACATGGTGTGTTTTTTTTAAAAAAAACAGATTGTTTTTCAGCCGTCACGCCGCTTCGACTGAGCTCTGCTGAAGCTGTGGCCGAGGACGAAAGAGAACGCAGAGAGATCCACGGTTTGATTCATCTCAGGCTCTGGTTTCAGCTAACAGGGGGCTGAATTTACTGGCTAACACAAAGCGACACTTCAACCCGGCCTGGCTGCTCGGGGTTCATTTCTCTCTGCTGAGAGAAATGAACCAGATATAATACAGTATGAATGAAGAGATCCTGTCAAAGGTTTAATAAACTAACATCTACTGTTGGCTGAGCTCTGGTCCTTTCATCACTGGATGTTCTGCTGGTTCACTCAGTTGAATTCAGTTTATCTATATGGCACCACTTCACAAGCAAGGAATGTTGGAGAAAAAAAAAAAAACAAGAGAAAATGAAATTTCATCATTCAAACTTACATTCCAAGTTGATTCTAGATTTAATCACGATAATTTCCAGGACAGTTTATCATCCAGCAGAACTTGTTACCATGACAGACCTAGGACCTAGTTATGAGACTCGTTGACGCTAACATAATCTTTCAGCTGCAGGCTGCAGGTTTCTTTGAGACAAAATCAAATCTGATCCTCACAAGTCTTTGAAGAAAGACCCGATGTTCAGTGAGCCACATTTAGCTGCTCTGCTTTTTGTCCCGTTGAAATGTTATTTATTTTCAGTGGATTCTGGTCTATTTCTTTTAGGTTGGCTTTTTAATCTGTTTAATTTGGACAAGACGTTCTCCCGCTGGGGTAATGCGTGGGTAGCATTACAGAAGCTGCAGCTCTGCTTCCTGATCTGAACCCTGGCTCGTATCCTTGCTCCCTTACAGAAACCTCTGGTCGGCTTCACAAAACTTTCATCGCCTTTCCTGTTGTTGCAGCAAAATCCACTGGGTGTCCTCAGTGACCTGATCTGTAGCACACAGTCAACAGAAGTTAGAGATAAAGCTAATTACTTATTGACTTTGTGGAAATGTAATCTAATTAAACTAACTTTTGCTTTTGCCTTGGTTGAAAACAGCACCTGTTTTCTGTTGATCATCCAGTCTGCTCTTTTATTGTCCCCCAGGTTTTTCCAAACCCACGTGTACTAGATTTCCTCATTCTTCAGCTTCCCTCCTCAGACCTGACTCTGACCTCTGCTGCTATTTATTAATCCAGTATTTTCCCTACAGGTAACGGAAACTGCTGGAAATAATGATGACGTTTCCCCTAGTGTTTTCTCCCCCAACACTTCAACCTCTGCTGCCTTGCTCCTGCAGCCGTTACTCAAATACTTTCTCCTTCATCTTTATGTCTGATGCTTGAATCTTCTGTCCTCCTGCTTGATGATGACACAGACAGAGAGATAATCCATGTGTCTCTTGGTGCTTTAGGTGCTAAACTTATCATCCTAATGCCAGAGAGAAACTTCTACGGTTCTTTTATTTCCTCTGGAAGGATTTAAAATCAACTCATTCTATTGAAACTACAACTAATTGTATAAACTTTTCACTAAAAATATGGGTTCTCTGCATTTTTTCTTTGTTTTCTGCCTTGAAACAAACGCATATAAACTTTAGTATGACAATTGGAGGTTTAATTTTAAACCTCTTCCACTGTCTGAATTGACTGCCATCACTAGACATGTGCCAGGACTTCATCTGTACCAGCTTTCCTTTGGACTTAGCTTTCATCAGCTATAATCTCCACAACTCCTGGATGTTCCTGCTGCTCTGAAATCTTCCTGTAGTTCCAGAATCTTCCTGCTGGGAGATCGTCCTGCAGATTTCACCCTGAGCTCCTGCTTCCTCACTACAAAAGCATCCAACTAAAATATATCATGGCTTTGGCTTGGAACTCAACGTAAAAAAAAAATTTTTTTTTAGATTCAGAATTGTTCTAGAATTAGTGCCTTAACAGTGTAAAAACAAAAATTAAGCTAGAAAAGAAATTGACCGGATTTGGGTGGCTTTTGTAACCACATTAAGTTCTTCATCATGAGGAATTCCAGCTTCTCACTGTGTTGTATTGTTGTTGTTTTTTTCTGAGTTCAGGACCACGGACAGAGCCCGAGAGGTGATTAGATCTGTGAGCCCCGCTGTGATGACAGCACACAGAGATGTTATTCATAAAGCGTTCAGAGAATGCCAAGTTTCCCATGAAACCCCTTTTCATAAGCAGTTGTAAATCTGCAGATTAAAATCAATTTACTTCAAATTTCACCTGCTTGTAAGATGTTTGAACCTGAACTCAAACCACAGCAAGTCAAGGAAATAAATTTGTTACGTTGCTGTTTCCTATACTATATCATGTATGGATATTGTCTTAAAGCTTATTTGAGTCACCATTCTGTGTCTATTCTCTTTTAGCTTTCTGAGCAACTCAAAATAAAGTCTGAAAATGGAGACATAAAAGAACTTGCCAAGCTACTGGAAAACCCCCATGTGAAGGTAAGAACCACACCTGCCCTTTTTTGTTAGAACTGAATAAACTGAAATGATAAATCCTTCTCTGAATGATTAAATTATTATAAAAATTGGCTAAAAAATGAGCAGCTTTGTATTTGTGTCTTTTCTGTTTTTGAGTCATCAATACTAACGTGAACCGCAAACAGCTTCAGGCCTTTTCTTTTGTTTTTTCTTCTTGGCTGCATCTGCTGACCTCATTAACCAGACACAGACGGCTCCAAAATAAATGTCCACACTTTTTACTTTTTAATCCTGAACTCCAGCCGTTCATTAGATCCTCCAGGTGTCTCAGCCAGACAGAGCTGGCTTCACCCTGGAGGATCAGGCTTCTCACCACGTTGTCCTCAGGATTATTTGGCTCTTGCCAGAAACAACACTTCACTCTGAAGTTCCGTCCCAGCAGATCAGACACACACACACACACACACACACACACCACATTGATAGTCAGTCAGTATGTGTGTCAGACTGTAGGGGTGTGAACAGATCAGTCATCTCCAAAGATTCGAGCTCAGAAGTAGATTTTTCAAGTCTGCACTGATGACAGGAATTCAGGTGTTTTGATTAATTCCAAAGGAAAACTGACAGTTTCTCAGAATGTATCCTGACCTCTCCTACCGTGCTACACGGAGAGATGGTGATGATCTGCTTTGTCTGTGATAACTCCAAAGAGAAAAGAGCTGACAGATGACAAATGACAATGGCTGAGGTCAATCCGTCACAGCATAAAGCTGGTAAAAACCATCAGTTGGTAAAAACCATCAGCTGTAACTGATGAGGTGAAAAAAGGTGGATGTGGCCGAGGGTCGGCTTAACACTCCCGTACAGTGAAAATAACTGTTTAAAAGATTGTGTTTCCATGGCTTCCATCCATGTTTTCATCACTTTTTTTTTTTTGAAAAATATTCTCCTGTTCCCTCAAAGCTCATCAAAGTTCTGCAATTTAATTTTCTGTAGATCTATGTGCTTCATATCAATATTTCCCCAGACTGTTGTCTAATGAAAATAAAAATAAATCTAAAATTTTTATCCTTCAATTAAATATGTTTCACAACATTTTCAGCCAGGCTTTATTACCTCTGCAAATGGAAATCTCATCAATCCACAAGAGTAAAATGCCTTTATTTTTCACGGTAACGGGACGTAAAAATGTTAAAGGAAAATATCATCAGGACCACACTAGCTTTTAATCTCAGTAGTGGTGGATATTTCAGCATTATATTTTCCTACTGTGTATTTACGCATTTATATAATGAATCAGTTGTTTATTTCTTCCCAGTGGAACAATCACTATGACAGATTTTAAAAGTTGAGTTTCATTTATTTCTCAGTGCAATGATTTTATTTTCCAGTCAGAAGAAAACAGTTCATCTAAAGCCATGAGGAAATCACCATTATTTGTTTTAATGTTTTACATTTATTATTAGTAAAACTTAATAGATATTTAAACTATTTATTGTTTATACATAAAAAATTACAACCCAACTCTAGCAACAATAATAAGACAAACAACCGATCAGCTTGAGAATAATGACATACTCGGTATGTCTTCTGGAAGAAAAGTTGACAAGGAGACTTGGTGGTGGAATGAGGAAGTGCAAATATGGGTCCTGAGAAAGAGAGCAGCTAAGAAGCAGTGGGACAATGTGAGGACTGAAAAGAGTCACCAAGAGTACAGGGAGATGCAGTATAAAGAGAAGGTAGAGGTATCTAAGGCCAAACAAAGTACATACACCGATTTATATAAAAGGCTGGAGAGTAAGGAGGGAAAGAAGGACTTATACAGGTTGGCGAGGCAGAGAGATCGAGATGGGAAGGATGTCCAACAGGTCAGGGTGATTAAGGACCAAGATGGATCTCTACTGACAGATGCAAAAAGTGTGATAAGGAGATGGGAGAAGTACTTTAAAAGGTTGATTAATGAAGAAAATTAGACGGTGGCAATGACTAAGAGGCAGAGCTGGAGGTAGCAGAGATGAAGATGTTGAGGTTCTCTTAGGGAGTGATAAGGATGGATAAAATCAAAAATGAATACATCAGAGGAACAGCTGATGTCAGACATATTGGAGATAAAGTCAGAGAAGCCAGACTAAGATGGTTCGGACATGTACAAAGGAGAGACACTGAATACATCGGTAGAAAGATGCTGAGGATGGACCTGGCAGGCAAGAGACCTAGAGGAAGACCAAAGAGGAGATTTATGGATTGAGTGAAAGAGGACATGAAGGTAGTTGGTGTGAAAGAAGACTATGCGGAAGGTAGGATTACATGAAGATGGATGACTCGCTGTGGCATCCCCTGAAGGGAAAAAGCCAAAAGGAAAAGAAGAAGCTTGAGAATAACGATCCCTTCATCAGAGTCTAATGGTTTTGGGGAAAGAACGCTCTCCTTGGACCAATCTGGTGCTTCCATTTGAAAGCAGAGTGGGCCGCTGACGGGGCCAAGAGGGCTTAATAACAGGATACTGCCAGGAATGCCCAGCAGGTTTTTTTAGTCAAGTTCTCTGATCTGTATTTCTAAGTTAATTATTTATTTTTAATGAAGACAATACAGATTAACAGAGATTGAACCAGATACCTGGAGAACAAGGATGGTTTTCCTTCTCTTCATCTTTCTTCTCCAGGAGTCTAACTCTAGATCTCATTGGTCAGCTAATCCACCAACTCTGAAGTATAACAACGCCCACTGACTCGTATCAGCCCAGCAGGAATGCTTCCCTCTAGAGACCTGAGTGTGTGAAACATTTGGACCTGTGTTCTGCTCCGTGTCGGTGATCAGCAGCCAGGACACGCTCCATGTGCTCCCCATTAGCATCCAGCTGCTGCCGCAACTTCCAAGAAGATTTTACAGGGAATCGGTTGTGGCTCTGTTCCAAGTTGTTAAGAGGGGAGGCGGACGGCAGATCCAGGTTTAAGGAGGATCTGTGGATGAACGTAAAACTGCAGGTTCTCTGGTTTGGTCTGTTTGACAGAGTTCAGAGATTCCAGTGGGGAAAGGCTGAGATTAGATGGAAGGAAATAAATCTGAACTTTGTTGGAAAAACAAATCTTCTGATCTAAATTTGAAACAAAGTTTGAAGATTGAAGTTTTTAAACGGTTGAGGTCAAGTTGTGTTTAGGTTTGATTTTCTTGTAAATCAGAGGTCTGACGTTGAGCCAGCAGTGGAAGTGGAACAGAAAGGCTGCAGAAAATGTTTCCAGAACTCTAGGGGTTGATACTGATTACTAGTATGGCTGACCTGAGATCAGCTAACGTGACTGACAGTCTGTCATCATAAAGGGCCAAAACACAACATAGATCCAACCTGGAACTAAAACAGGACCTCCAGTTTTACTGTCTATTTCACCAGAGGATGTTATGAAACTGGAGCCTGATTGGGATCCAACCTGCAGCTGGTTTCTCTGAAAAAGAGGAAAATGAAACAAAGAAGAGGAGAGCTCTGAGTCGGAAGCTGTTTTCTTCTGATGTGCAGAGATTTTCTTCCTCTCTGGATGGGACTGAGAACGTCCTGCTGCTCTATCTACATTCAGCTGCTGTTCTGGAGCTGCTGCTGGGTTTTACTGCACATTGATCAAATTCCCATCAGCTTACCATTTGTGCTCATCTGCAGAAACAAATGTTTTCTGGTGATCAAAGAAAATGTTGATGAAATCATCCTCGGAGAGAGAAGAAAGGCCAATGAAATTCAGGAGCACATTGTATGACTGGGGGAAATTCATGAAAGACAAAGAAGAGACAGGAATGAAGGTGTAGAGATTTAACCTGGAGCACCAACAGATAAAGAGCTTCACAGGGATAAAAGATTAAAAAAAGAAATACAATTGAACTTAGATTCTTTTACTAGACAGTTATTTTCTGTCTCTTCAGGCATACCTGACAGGTTTCAGCTGTGATACCTCTGACAAAGATGGAAGTATGCCTGAAGAGACATAAGAAATAACTGTGTATAGCAAAATAATCATTAAGACTGTATCATATATAGACAGAATGAATTTCATCAATAAAATTGAACTCGTTTTAATGAGAATTTCAACACATCTTTAAGTTTAAGTTCTACGTCTCACTCTTGTTTTGTTAGGCATATGAGGTGGAAATTGCCCCCAAAAATCCTTTCTATGTACCTCGGTTGAGACATGCAGTCATTAGAATGTGGATTAAAGTTCTACATTGAATAGATTTCCAGTTTGACTGATAACTTGAACTTGCGTCCTTTTTCTCTCCCATATTTCTCTCTTCCAGAGCCTTCTGTCCGTCCATGATACAGTTGCTCAGAAGCGGTACGACCCCGAACTCCCGCCGCTGCCTGAATACCTCAATATTGAGGAGAGTTCTGTGAAGATTATAAGACTGGTCAAAAACAAGGAACCTCTTGTAAGTCACTTTTTATTGTGTGCTCAGCTTTACTGTTGACAGAAGTTAAACGTCTGAGGAAAAGTTTGGTCTTTCCAGTCGTTAATCGATTAGCTCATGGAGTCCCTTGCATCTTTTTGTTCCCTGTTGCCATCCAGAATCTATTGAGATGTTGCATAAATAACCTCAGTCCTCTGATGGCATGAGTGAGGTATTTCAATACAGAGTATGACGTATACCCCATATTTCTCTGAGATGCAGGAGGCGATTGTCTTACAGTTTTAAACCTGATGCTCAGGCCAGTAATGTCCCTTGCATATAAGCCAGACTCATTCTGCCAGATAAACCTCTTCCTTGCTAACCTTTAGTTCTTTTTCAAGCATTCATTTGTGATCACACTATGGGAACATCCATACTTCTCTTTTGCCTCATAACTTGTTTCTAAAGCTGACTGAAGTTCACTCTGGAGAACAGGCTCTATTGGAAGCAACTACTCTCTATTGGAGCAACAACATCTAAAGTGAAAAATGCTGCAAAGGTTTGTGGTGATGCCCAGGTGGCAGTTAATTAGATTTCCTGAATTGCCATTGAATCAGACCTAGTATGTAGCTTAGCCTCTAGCATAGTGAGCACAGAGACCATATGGTGTCTGGAGATCTCTGCTTTTATAGGTCAAGTGAGTGATGCCAGTGAGCGAGAAACTGATTTGGACTTGGGCTTACCTGTATGTGTATTATCCCAGGATAAATATCTGGATCTATTTCCTTGATTCTCATCTTGTTAAGGTCATCTTAAATGAATGAACTTATTCTACTTAATAGAACAGTTCAAATGGTGTGCATGGTAGTGTATCAAAAGCACTTAGATAGTAAATTTGTTAATATAGAGCACCTTTCATAAAGTGTCACACAAGAGGACACTGGGATGTTGTTTTTAGCTGTTTTTTTCTAAGAATGCATTCACACAAGCCCAGTGTAGTTTGTTTTACTCAAACTGCTTCCCTAGAAATCCTGGTTCATTCTGAGGAGGTGTTCATTCTCAGAACCATACATTCTGAGAATGTCCCACATTCTTTTCAGATGAACTCTACTACTACTGAACTCTGATACTAACCTGAAAAGCAAACTCTGGTCCGCTCTTAGAGTACACTGCCTCTTGCTCAATGGCTGCTGGAGATGACCACTAATGGATAAATAGATCCAGCCAAGTCTGATTTTTGAGAGCACTCTTCCTCAGAAATGGTAAGAATGGCTGGCATTATAAAAGTTTGGATGAAATTTGCATTTTCATCAAATTTCTAGAAATCCAGCTGGCTCAGTGAGGGATTCATGCCAGTAGCAGACATGTTTTAAGTTAGTAGCCTGTAGCTGTTCAACCCACAGCCTCGGAGTTGTAGCACAGTAAACTAACCACGGCTGCCCTTCTGTTGGCGACGAGTATTTTTAGTCAGTCTATGCTTGACCTTTGTTCCTCCTGCGCCTCATCATTAGAACATGCGAGTCTCATTGTCCCAGACAAAACAACCATTTTCCCACTCTTTTCTCTCATTGTTTAATTTTCTCTGCACCCCTCGACTTACTGTGCGTGTCTGTGGTGTCGTTGCCATTTCAAACATTCCCAACAGCTAATTGGCTGTTTAGACACTTAGAGAAATAGACTTCTCTAATGACTGGGTTTGCTCGCATGCCATACCTCCTTTTTTCTGTAACTGTCCCAGTTTTGTCTCTATTATTGTGTTGACTGACCTCAGTGTCCTACAGCAGAATAAACACTGAGCTTACACACACATGTCCTCATTGGTCTGTCAGACGTCCATCTGTCCTCCCAGACCTTTGTTGTGTGCTGAGGTCCCGTCCGTCTTTGATCTGCAGCGGACATGTCCTGGACCCGGCCGCCTCTATTTTCACTCTGTGGTTTTCACTCTGACCGCCATCTTGGCTCCAGGCCGGCGTTCCTCTCACCACACCCTAGAAAAAGGGGAGGACGGGGGGAACACACCTCAGCCGTTGTGGCTTTCCTGCCTCCGCCTGCTGCATGTTCTCTGGAGCTGTTGGGCTCAACAACGAGGCTCGGAGGAGTTCTGGGTTTCTGTCTCACTGCACACATTGGTGAGGACACTTCCTGGTCTAGGTTTTCCAGAGCGGGATGATGTTTCAGAAAAACATTATGGTTTTCCGAAACCATAATGTGATGTAGAGCAGCCACAGTCTCCTTCATCATCCAGCTCCTGCTGTTCCAGGAAGGGATTTGATGGGTTTCGTCTCGGTGGACTGAGAACGTCAGAAAAAAAAATTCCAATGTGTGATCTTGTAAAGTTGAGGCTGGGCCATTTCTTTTCTTGGTAATGAATGCTACATGACAGCAGTTCACAGTCCTGATTATATTCCATATCCAAGTCAGTCCTAAAATTCAGCACATTGCTATCCGCTATAAGTGTGGGTGATAAGGACTTCTTTCTATCACAATATTTTGTAGTACTATTGTAGTGACGATAAAAGTGATGAGAAGTTTTTTTTTTTTCTTTTGGGTAACTGTATGGCTGTGACTGCATGTCACTGCAATTACACAAACATTCCAATTTGTAACATGCTTCTTTAGGCTTTTGGATAAAAGTCACATGAAGAAGTGTGATTTATATTAAACGGCAAATCATAACAACATTTAATCATGTTTTCAAATTTATTGATATTCATTAATATTTTAATTGAACAAATGGTGGGTAAAACGATAAAATTAACAATTTTGACAATACAGACACTTTTAGGGGTTTTAGATATTATTAAAGGGGCAGTGTTATATATATTTTAGGCATTTAGTTTCTATTTGCAGCACAATCAAGTAACTATGTTACCAGTTCTTATAAAAATGCTCTATATACATCATAGATGACTTAAAAGAAATGTGACTTTATAATTTGGCACCTCTGTCTCTTTAAAAACTCCTGCTCTTTCTGAAACTCCACCTGCAGAAAGTCATCACAACATGGCTTTCCTCTATTAACCCTTTAACGATGTTTGTACCAGCATTGCCCTGAGAAGTAGGTCTTACATTGAACTCAGCTGATTCACAGTTGCAACAGGTGTTTGCCAATTGCTGCTAGCTAGTCTGAAGGAGCTGACTGAGAGAGTCGCAGGGAGGGGTGTTCTGTAAT